TTATTTCCATCCAAGGGCAGCTTCATACAAATCACAAGTAAAAAACACGACTAAAGCAGTGAGTCATTCACTATTTTTAACATAATAAAATGTCAGAATTAAGAACTCAACAACCGTAAGCCAAACTACACAAGCATTCATGTGTGTGCAGATAGCAATCCACCCAGCTAGCAATGTAAGTACCAAGCTCAGGCACTTTAATACTTAGTTACTATTAAGGATATGCCGAGTTACAAATTAACATGTTTCAAAATGATTATACCAACTAATAGGGAGGGGGACTACAAGTACTAAAAATGATTAAAATCAGTTATGTAAATCAATATACCTAGCCAACAGATCTCAAAGATAGGGAAGAAAGAAAGAAAGAAGAAAAAGGAGTTGGAAGCTCTAGATTCTTGAGCAATGTATCAAATTTGCATCCTTGGCAGTGAAAAAAGAAATAGGTAATTGATGAAGCAGTTCCAGGCTTGGAAGTTTTCCTCTCTTATAAAGCCATCAAAGGTGTCTTTGATAGCACTGCAGTCCAGAAACCCGAGGCCATCAAGGAGATTCTAATAAGGCAACAACATGAAATTTCACAAAAAACAAGGACCAATTTATTCCTACAATGTTATCATCTTGACAATTACTATTCACTTGGAAACTACTACTATTTTCCATACATATTATGCTTAGGAGGCAAGTTACAACTCTGAGGTAGGTGAGTTTTCTGAAACTACACAGAAGCTAGAGACTAGAGGTGTCAGACTCCATGTTAACAGCACGTTTGGTCACAATGCACTCACGACCAGTTTCTTTCCTGTTTTTCTGCTCCTAAAGGAAGTTATACACTAAAGGAAATACCTGCTCAGAAATAAACTTAGAACAAGATAAACCAACAACTTAACTTGGCAACTGGCCTTCTACACTGAGCACAGGTAGTTTCCAACCCCAAGGGCGTTTCTGTTTTGTGGAAAGACTTGACCATTTTGGAAAATTAACCTTTGAAAAAAAGTGGGCCATGGATGTCTCCAGTAAGATCCAGCCATGGATGTACAGAGAAGTGGGTTTGTTTCCTCTGAATTCCAGTATGTTAATGAAGCTAGTCTGTTTTATTTAGCACCTTAAATTCCAGTTCACAAGTATACATCACACCCTTAAATATTCACTATGAGATATGATGATGTTCAACTATAAATTCAACCATTTCTACATTAAGAAATGAGATTAACAATTAAGGTAGCTTAACTAACCATAAATTAGTTCCTGAAAGGTTAAGAGCCTTATAATGGATATCTTATTCATATATATAAAAATTATTCTCAAAATGCAACAACCACTAAATTAAGGAAGAAGAATTTTATGATTTGCAACAATTCTGATCTGTTTCATACTCGCATGACCAGAAAAAAAAAAGCCTACCTCAAAAAAAAACCCAAAAAATCACCACCTGTCCAAAACATAGTAAAAAAAAATATTAAATAAGCAGCAACATACTTTCTTCTGCTTTGGTCTGCTCCTGCAAGATGCTAGTTACATAGCACCAAGTATAACAGGACCCTTTTACTCCACACACAAAAGTAATTCGGAAAGAGGGGTGACACCTATGCCCAGATTACAAGACTACATTGTTTACACATCTGAGTATATTAAATATTAAAAATTACCTATTTTCCCTGGTATATTTATGAGAAACTGAACTAAACTGATCATGTATTTTAATAATCTCTTAAATACATCATCTGGACAAAAATCATGTAGATACAGCCCTAGGTGTGGTCACAACAGCACAGAGCCCTTCAGGTCCACTGTGATCACAGAGTAATATAGAAAGCCAAGCTATGGCTTTGCAAGGAAAGCTCTAAAAACGCAGATGCTGACTACAACCCAAATCCATTTCTAAACCATAGTTAAAGTTATTTCAAAAGCAGCAGGTATCTATCCTGTTCATAACAGAAATAGTAAATACTGGAAAAATCTTAGGCATGCAGACAGCTAACTTCAAAGCTACACTATGCATATATTTAGTCTGTAAAAGCTCACTTAATTACTCGACTCTTCAAATCCACATATAAACCCTGAAGCCCGCCACTGGTTGCTGTAGGTACTAACAGTATATATATGTACACAGCTAGACATACAAGCAAGGAAAGGTGGCCAATTACAATGCCGCTACAGCTCTGTTTTCCTAGAAGCCTTCGTCGTGTCAGTCCCTTCAAGCATCTCTCAAAAAACCACCCAAGTCACAAACATCCCAACCCGCTCAGCTGGAGAAGAGCTGAACGCTTCAAGCCCTACTGCCCGCCCCATTACAGGCCTGAGTTTACAATCGCCTCCTGTTTGCGGGACGCAGCGACCCGGTACTACAGAAAGAACAAATAGGTTGGCTTTTTTTTTTTTTTTTTTTTTCCCTCTCCAACACCCAGGTGCGCCATCCCGTCGCTCCACTGCTATAAGTCCTTTCCTACTTCCCTAAGAAGCCCCGAGGAAGGGGGCACCTTCCTGCTCCGCGAGTACCGCCGCACCCCGGGGGTCAGGGCCGGCCCCGCTTCCCCCCGCTCTGCTCCTCCCGAGCTCCGCCGCACCGGCAGCCAACCCCTGGCCAAGGGCCCGGCAGCCACCTCGCCTCCTTCCCCGGGGGGCCGCGGGTCCCCGCGGGTGTCCACGCCAGCCCGCAGCCGCAGCTGCCGGGCGGGAGCGGCCACAGGTCGCGGAAGGGGCGGGCGGGAGCCGCACCCAGGCGGCGGGGCGGGGAGGGGGGGGGGGGGGGACGGGGACGGCAGGCTTCCGCAGAGACCCCCGCGGGCCTCCCCACCGCGGGAGCGCAGCTCGGGGCCGAGGGAACCCCCCACACACACCCACCCACACACACCCCCTCCGCGGCGAGAGGCGGCCGACCCCCCTCACTCCGGCCCTGAGGAGACGCGAAACGGCCCAACGGCCGCCGCCTCGCGGAGCGCGGGAGAGCCGCCGCCGCCATCACACCCCCCCCCCCCCGCCTCGGGACAAACCTCCGACCGCCGGCTTCGTCTTCTGCCTCAGCGCCCCCCGACCGCGGGCTGCCAGGGGCGAGGAGGACCGGGGGGAAGCGGGGCGGGGGGAGAGGGAGGAGGATCCGGTCTCACCCGGGCTGCGGAGGCGGCAGCCACTATGCGCGCAGGCGCGCTGCTGCCCCCCCCCCACCCCCCGCTTCCTCCCCACAGCATCACTCGGCGGCCGTTACGAGGCGGCCGCGCGCGCGCATGCTCAGAGCGGCGGGGAGAGCCCCGCGCCCGCCCGCCCCCGTTTCCTGTTCCTCGCCCCCGAGTTTCCCGCGCCCGCGCTTCCGGCGGGGCGGGGCCCCGAGGCGGGAGGGGAGCGAGCCGCTGGCCCGCCAAACGGCGCGAGCGGGCGCTGCGCCCCCTGCTGGGAGGAGCGAGCGGCTGCAGCTCCCAGGCCCCTGTGGAGCTTGAGGGGTCCCGCGGGCGGCCTGGCCCCGCTCGCCCGCCCGCTCCCCCCCGGAGGGCCGCCCCTTTCCCCGCGGGTACCGCGCAGCGGGAACGTCCCCTTGGCCAAACGCGGGGGACCTCAGAGGCGAGGTCTGCCTCGATCCAACGGCGCCCTGAGGCGTGTGGGGCCTTGATGCCGCCTCAGGAGGGACGCGACAGGGGCGAGGGAGGCGGGAGGAGCCTGGTGACTGAAGCCTGGTCCAAGGGAAAGGAAAATCCTGAGGACAGACCGCTTTTTAAAAGCTAGGGAGTGTTTGGGGGTTTTTGGTTTTTGTTTTTGTTTTTTTTTTTTTTTGTTTTGTTTTTGTTTTTTTTGTTTGTTTTTTTTTTTTAATTTTATTTTTTTCATTTCCCCTTGGGTCCATCCACCAAGAGAAGGGCTAAGAATTGAAAAAGTTGAACACTTAATCTGATGACTGCAGGAGTTGCGGATATAAAACATCCCAGATAAGCCTCACAAGTGACGTGCACAGAGAGTGCAAGAGCTGCCGTCAATGTAAAGGACAAACTTTGAGGGGGGGAGGTCTGCAAGGAGCAAGATCAGTAATCAATCCCAGTCATTTTATAATTTGTTTCCTAGTGCAAAGGACAACCTTAATCTGAAATTACAGAAAGTAAAAAAACAGAAATTGCAGGAATTTCCCAGCCTAGAAATGAAAACAGTCTCTAAGCATCCATGCCTCTGTTTTTATCTAGTCACTCACCTACTTGCATAGCATGTTTACCGTGCTTCCTTCTCCCAACACCTGGGCTCTGTCATTCAGAGATGTGAAGTTGCAAAGCAGCCACTCAGATTCTCACCTCCTGTAAAGACCCGAGGCAGAGTCAAATTACAACCTCACTTTTCATAAATTTCTGCTTTACATGGCAGAGTACACTGTACTGGAACAAGCACTTCCCTTGTTCATACGGAAAGAACATTACATTTGTCAGCCCAGTTAGCTGTGTTAGGATGGCAAAGCATGTCCCCCTTTACCCAGTACTAAACAACTGGTAAAGTTTAGAAACAAATGTAAACTTTGCCTTGCATTATCTGATTATTTATTTTCCTATACAAAGTACAATCCCTTTTCTCATTTTGAATGTAAGTTCCAACATTCTGAAAGGGAAATACTGGATTCACTGAGGGATGCACCTTAAACATCTGCAAGATGAGACTTCTAGCATTCTCTACAGCAGCTGAAGGCTTTTACCATTATTCCTATCTTTGTGTTTTAATCCTCTCTCCCACGCACTGATGCAAAAAGGCCCTTGTGTACCTATTAAATGACCCTCAGGTGAAAGGGGGAGTGGACAAGTAGCAGCTGCCTGCTATAAAGAGGGTGAGCTGAGGGCTGGATTAGTTTCTTGCTAGGCTGTAAACAACAGCAGTAGGAACCATAGTTTTGAGGTGCTCTAATGGGATAGGAATAGCTTAGTTTTTGTAGGGCTTTTTTTTTTTTTCTTCCTTTCTTTCCTACATCGCATTCTCTCAAAAGGCTAAAGTAATTCTTGGACCTTTGGCTTGCGAGAGTGAGGGGAGGCTGTAGGCTTTTTGGTGTTTACAATAGCTGGACAGGACGTTCTAGAAGGAAACTGAAGAGGGCTCCAGCGTTCCTGAAAGCTTTCTGAAACTCTAGGCTGAACTATGTGCTAGTTAACAGGTCTTGAATTATTATTTTTTTTTCCCTGTAACTGTGAAGTGCTTAAGCTCTCCAGAGAGTTGAGCTGATGTTTTTTTTGGTTTTTTTTTTGTTTTTTTTTTTTTTTTTTTTTAATGTGTAGCTGCTAGATCTTCTGTGTTTTCTGGTTTCTTTTATCCTTGCTCGTAAGCTATATGTGACAGGGTTGTATCATTTGCATGGGTTAGAATGGACTGAACTTAGTGTATTAGTTAACTGGGGAAACATGTAAGTGTGGGAGGAAGTTCTGTCTTGTGAATTTTGTATGGCTTTGAATGTGAATTTCTGTGTAAGGATTTTGCTTTTTTTTTATCTATCGTTTAGTTTAAGCGTAGGAAGCATAGTGTCACTGAAATATTTGGTTTATTATGTTAGCTGTCATTGTTCTTAAATATATTATCAAGTACAAATCTTGAATTAACAGAGCTCTTATTGTGATCTCAAATACCACTTATGTGTTAGCATTAAGAAGTATTTTCTTCATGAGGCACCAAACTTTTGATTGTGTGAGACCTTTTACTGTTTTGGTGTTGTGGTTTTTTTTTTTTTTTAGGCCACTTGCTCAAGGCTAATTCACTGAAGGATAGTTTTTAATTGGCTGGAATACTACTTATATGAATGTGTGCATATATGACTACAGTAAAGTTATTGGTCCTGTGGCCTTAAAATGTGTTATAAGATTGGCTTGAAGTACTAACATTGAGAGCTACATATAAAAGCTTGCTTAGCAAAGGAGAACTAAAATCTTTTACCTTAATAGTAATGTCAGTTTTCTACTTTCTGTTTGGAAGATAATAGTTTTCTTCTGGAAAGATCTGGTTTCATTGGGCTAAGAGAGGAATATCTGCTGAATTCTAACAGAGCATAAAAATCATTAGGCCGTAGAGTTTTTTAAGTGGTTAATCCTGATCACTTATCTGTTTCAGTGTTTAAAAAAAAAAAAAAAATGAATGCTGCTCCAACTTCAGAAAGTGGATCATATTCCACAAACCACACAAGACCCTTCTTTTATGCACAGCCAACAGTACAACAGCCTTTTCCAAATCCATGGTACCTCAGTCATGCATACAGTCCATACTGTGTGCCTGCTCCAGGTAAGGTAAATGAGAGTGTCTGTGGTAGCTTTGGTTAGTAAATTACTTCTGGAGTGGAGGAAACAAATGTGTATCTGTGTTAACAAGCTTCTTGGGAGTTTAAGGTAGAATTAATGTTTTGCTTGTCGAAGATCAGATTTATGAAATGTTAGTTAAATGTGTAGCTTTTGTGCTGGAAAGCATCCATTTCTGGAGAATGGAAAGTAAACAAAATATTAAGTAATGGCTATCCTACAGATACAGAGCTCTAGAATATGCCTAACGATTATTATGTGCGTATATATGAGTTCCATATGCATGCATTATAGGTATGGATAAATATAAACTTAAAAATCCACACAGTGTTGTTAAATACATCCTGTAAATGGTAAACCTGTGTTAACTTTTATCTGGAACTGTCTTTTTTCAAAGACAATGCTATAGCATAGTCTGTTAAATAGCAAAGTACAGAAGGCTAATTGGTGTGTGATCCAAGGAACAAAATCAAGTTTTGGTTAAAGTGTAGCTGCCCAGAAAATCTGTTCCATAACAAGGAACTCTCTCTGGGTTTCTGCACAAGATTTGCTTCCAAGAATTGACAGGTGGAGTGTTTTACTTACGTGTCTGATCTTGTATCTGTCCCTGTGTATGCAAACAAATATTAGTCAGAATTACTTACTTCAGAAAGAAGATACATTTGTCTTTTTTTTTTTTTTATCCCCAATGTCTAGGCTTCCGAAGTGGAAATCCATATTTTCCATTTTATTCTGTTGCGCTCCATGAGTACCCTGGATTTTTTGTTCCACAGCATCCAATGCATGCAAGAGTTAACAGAAGGCCTTATTTTAATGTTCCTTCACCTTCCCCTATGTTTTATCATGCAACAAGATTCAGACACTATAGTGCTTCTGGGAAAAAAATGGAAACAAAAGAAACACAGACTGATCCTAGACAGCCGGAAAACAAACAAAAAAAGCATCAAGATATCCATGCAGAAACGAAAGGTTGTGATGCAGGAAGCGTGGCCTGTGTTTCTTCTGGTGTAAGTCCAGAGACTGAAAGTACTTCAGAAAAACAAGATTCATCTGGATCTTCCATTGCGGTAGACAGACAGTTTCTGAACAAGAGCTCTTCCAGTTCTACACAGCATAGAAATCTTCCTACCGGAAGCTATGCCTTTGAGAAGGAAGAAGTGAGGATAGAATATGGAAACGGCTCTCCAGCCATTCAGCTGTGGAAGTCCTTTAAAGAAACGATCCCTTTCTATGATGTGGCAAGTGGTAAACCAGTCCCAGAGAATATAGTGCAGCGTGACTTATTTTCTGTAAGTTCATGTGAAGGAATGATATATGGCCCTCACGAAGGGGAGAAAATGGTGCCAGGAGCTTCCTTAGATGAGAGAAAAGCTGTTCTCACCTCAAAACAGAGTGTTGAAATTGTGCAAGAAAAAGAGGTTCAAAATAATGAAGTGAAGCTGGATGACGAAAAGCGGGCAAAATCCCCCCCAGGTGAAGCCACGGCAGTGCAGATCACAGACTTGGCAAGATCTGTTAGCATAGATCAACCAGTGGTAAAGCAGGATGTGGTAGTAGCTAAAAAATCTAGCTCTAAAAAATTTATGGGGTCAAAAACTTCTCAAGAAAAGCCCAGCTTTATTCAGCAAGCAGGACTACTTCCATCTAGTATGGAGGTAATGAGTGACTTGAGTTTTCAGCAGAAAAAGCTGAATCTAAGCCATAGTACAACCCATGAAAGTCAAACGGATAAAAGTATTTGGTGTGACGAATCAATTGAGAAGTACGTTCCCTCTAACAGTTGGCTGGCTTGTTTGGACAGTATGGACATAAACTATAACTACGACCTTTGTTTGCCACAAAGGAAACGTCAGAGTGTGCTCAGTCTTTCTTCTGATGACATGTCCTCTAGAGAGGAAGGCTCATCAATTGATAATGCCCCAGTGTCTTATTTTGTCCCTGACTGTGTGCTTCAGCAAAACCCATATACTTTCCAAAAAAGTACGGAGGGCTTAGAGAAAGAGAAAATTAGAAGTGGTGGGTCCCTTAATGAAGAGGAAGTGGTAGGAAGGGAGCAGATGAACAGCTTGAATGACCACGATGTCAAAAACTCTTCAGCCATGAAGATTAAAGAGGCTTCCAGTAAAGGTAGAAAGCTGGGCGCCCTTCCTAGATCTTCTAGTCAGAAAAGTATCAATTCTCCCAAGAAGAAAGTAGCTAAGAGTTTGTCAGAAGTTGAGGACTCTGAAGAATATTCTGTGAGGGGAGAAGGGGAGGATGAAGATGGAGAGGATGAGGAGGAGGATGATGATGATGACATGGATGAAATTGAATATTTCTTTCAAGAAGCCACTCCATATGGTATCTTGATGCCTAGTAAAGGAAATTTTTACCAAGTTGGCCAGAGGGTGCTTTGGAAACCACCTAAAAATGCTATACCAGCTCAATTAATTAGCTGGCCTGCTCAAGAGAAAATAAAAACTAGAGTTGGGCTTGGTGAAAACATAGGTGTAGTTTACAGGTCAAAGGAGAAGGAACAAGATGAAGTTGTATACAGTGACTATGGGTATCATAGAAGAAAGAGGCCTACGGCAAGAAGAGAAGGACTTGGACACCAGCGGACACTACAGAAATTACTGGGAGGTAAGCTAATTGCTGAGGTCAAAGTGATGCTTAATAGACCACACAAAGAACACCTAATTGCAGTTGTAAGTTTTAGTTTGAACTAGTGGGAAGACTGCGGAATTTTGTAGCTCCAGGTTTGACTTAGAGCCTGAAGCACTGCACAATATTTTTTTCAAGGCAGAGCAGGGGTTTGCTGCAATTTTTTACCTATTGCATGAGGATTCTGCATTTTCAGAATCAGCAGAGAATTTTGCAGAAACTCTCCTTTGAGTTGTACTTGATATACTTACTTTTCTGACATTAGAGGCAATTTATTCATTTGAAAAGCTTAAGGTCATTTGAACTACACATCTACCATTGTTTAATAATATCTTGGAAACTCAGCATTTAAACTTATACAAACAGTCTGACTGTCTCATCACAGACCCATATTAGGTGGATTAAACAAGATTGTTTATTATAATCTGGTGGCCATGTCCTGTGTAACTTCTCTGCAGAAGGAGCCAAACCATTAATTATTTTTTATTATAGCTTCTGCTCTCTGACTGTTAGCAACAAAAGTTTTGATGTATTTTCATAAAATTATTGTGAAACTATTAAATTTGATCTTAAAAATAACGTTATATTTAATCAAATGCAGATATTGGTAGAAATTAGATTAATTTGAACTGAGAATAAGCAGAGTTATCAGGGCTCATAACTGGTTACATGGGTACTTCGCTAAGGGGCTGCTATTTAGTACAGTCTTGTATTGTGAAAGGCATCTAAAACAATGATCTACTTCTAATAACTGGCTTAGTATTCTTAAACTTTTTTCTTTGTACAAAACTGTAGACTTAAAACAGCTTGTAATTTGTCAAGTGTGGTCTCCAGAAAACTATGCTTTTATTTTAATACTCTTACAATTAGATTCAGTAGCTAGCTTTGCATTTTGGCTTGTGGATCAAACAGTATATTAACATTAGCAAAACTAAATACTGACCTTACATTTTTTTTTTTTTTTATTATTATTAGGAAGGCTGTTAAGGGAGAACATGGGGATATCACCTGAAGAGTATTGGATTAGAAGTGGTGCTAAACCCAAATTTACCAGCCAAGTACGTGGTAGTCTCTCACCTCCAGCCAGGAGCAAAGAACAAGGTACAATTTACTTCCTCAGTGTGTTTCTGTTCTTAAGGAACATTCAAAAGGACATGATACAAACCAGCAAATTTATGATATTTGGATGAGATGTGAAGATAATAAAACTAGTTCTCATTGCTCTGATATTGAAGAAATGCCTGTCAGTACATCTCAGGGTATATTTATATCCTTCTCAAACATGTGAATAAGGATGGATTATAGCTCCATATTTTTTTTTCCTTCAAAGGTACCATGGGAACACAAAGCATCAAATGCTTTGGTGTGGCCAAGCAAAGCCTTTATTTGTGCAAAGTTGCTACTGCCATAAACTGTAGTATTAATTTCTTACCCGGATAATGCTTTTCTTGAGTGCGTACACAGTGATAGTTTGTAATCTTGATGAGTAGAACATACAGGAAGTCACATGTGATAGCTACATAGGCCAATGATCAGAGAAACTAGCATGGACCAACAGTTGCCTTGCTGCTGCTAAAAGATGTCTGAGTGCAAATCATCTTGATGTGGTTAAGGAAAAAAAGAACAAATCAAAGTTATTCTAATTAAAGTAGAAGGTTAGACAGCTTCCATATTTTTTTTTTCCTCTTTCTTCCTGGAGAATGTGTGTGTTCAGGTTTTATTACAATTAAGGTCTACTTGAAGTTCAGCTCTGTTTCTGGATGTTCTTCAAGGGTGTTTCTTAGTGTAAGTGCTGTTGGAACAACTGTAGAATTTTCAATAGTCTGAGTACTACCACTCTCCTGGGTCACATACTTTCAAGTATCACAGGATCAATCTATCAAGTAAGAGCATAAAGTTATCTTCAGAACAGACTGACTTGTTTTGCTTCAGTGGTAATATATATCAGGTTTCCTGTATCAACATCCCAGTAGACTATTTTTCAGAGTGTATTCCTTGGAGTTCTCTCTCTGTATTTCTTTCCTGCTTGAGCATGTTGGGGTTTGGGATTTGCCTCCTCTGTTGGAGGCTTCCTACCCTTTCTATCCACAACCTTCAAAATGTGGGGTTTTTTTATGCTAGCCTGTTCTATAATAGATGAAAACATTTTACTTTAGCAGCACCATTCTTAGCTCCTTACAACAATTCATAAAAATAATAAAGTAGTTCTAAACTAATTTTGTTACCTTTAACTTTCAGCATTTCCCTTCTATCTCTTCTAAGCCGTAGATGGTACAGCATACTGAGGATGCTTGGCCTATGTGTTACTCCCTGCTTTGCCTTCCTCCTTTTCCAGCCTATGTAGTTTGAAGAAGCTATCACACTCAGTATTAGGAAGCAGGAATTGGTTTCTTAATGGTGTTCATGCCAATGGGTGCCTCAGAAGTGCTAGTAAAATTGCATCCTTTTTAAAATGCTGCTTATCTTAAAACTGGTTTCTTCAAATTAATCTTAAATGTCTGTGCCCTGCAAGTAAAGAGGTTTGACTAAATAAGATATGTTACTTCAGCAGTAATATCATATGCAAAATTTGACTTCTTGAACTGTGTACCTGTGGTGTGTAACTTAACAGTGCTGAAGAATTCCATTTTTTAAAGACAGTGGGTGAGCTGGGTCACTTGGACAGCTATCGGCTAGTGTTGAACACTTGAAAAGTGATCTAGAGCAGAATTATCCAACTATCACTGTTGGTTTGTTTTGGTTTTGTTTTTTTTTTTTTTGCCACATTAACACCTATCCAAATTATGACCCAAAATACAGTGCATCCAGAATTATGGTTAGACAGTGATTAAATATTGTAGATATATGACTGTTGCTTGACATGTGTAGCGTGAGTTTTATCTGCCACTAAAATGGGCACATAGAGGGAAGGGAGAAAGAGGAACACCGCAGACCAGATGGGGGAAAGTCAAGCTTAAATTTGCTTTAAGACTATGCTTTGAAGAAATAACACCAGTTGTATCTTACTATTTAGACTGCCCACCTCTAGTTAAACCAAAGAAGAAAAGAATAGGCAAGCCACCTTCAAAACGCAGAGACACAAGATGTGAGGTGGAAGAAGTGTGGGAGATGCCCAAAAGCAGTGTACGCAAAGGTTGGTATATGGTGACAAGCTACAAAAATGACAGTTACAAGCATTTTTTCATTACTGTCTCAGGGAATGATGGTTCTTGGTTTGAACTGGAAGCATATTGGATAGCTTGTGAAATAATAGCAAATGTTATGTATGCAAACAAGTGAGAGAAAACAAGCTAAACTTTGAATGCTTACCTTGCTGTGAATACTGTGGTGGCTCTGACCGGGTTAGGTCCCTTCTCTTTATTTAAGGGGGGGAAGGGGAGCCACAGAAAACAAACAAACAAAAAAAACCCAAACGCAACACCAAAACCCACTATTTTAGCCTAGTTGCTGTTCAAACTGTTTTAACTTTTTAAAATGAGCCCTGTGTCATATCGCAGTATATACTTTTCTTTAAACTACAGATCTGTCTCAGCCCAAATACTGTAATTTGCCACAACACAAATGCATATAGATAATTCTTAAGAACTTCAACTCTGTGGAGTAGAAACTTCTTGCTACTTTGGAGGAAGATGGGAAAAACAATGGAGGGAAAAAACCACATTAAGTATGTTCAATAACAGATATGCTTTTGTGGGAGAGGTTATAAATTGAAAAGGCTCAGTACATAGAAGATGATCTCAAAAAGATCAGAATTTCTTCTGGAAAACAACAATCTGGCATATTAAATCTAGCTTGAATATTCAGTCAGTTAGATGGTCTCTTACTTGTATATTAAATGGAGGATTAAAATTCCATGTATTTGCAAGGTCAGAAACAAACGTAGAGTGAAGCAGATAATTAGTCAAAATCGGTGTCAGTCCTGAAGTCAGATTATTTAAACACCAGTTTTAAATCTTTAATTGTTGATCATTTTTAATAAAAGCATCCATGAAATTTGCAGAATACCAAAATACTATTTATATTTGAGCCAGAAATATTTTCTTGGATGCATTCAACAATGTAGTCACAAGGGCACACTGAAAATATGCTACAAGTTTGATATGGAACTCCTGTCTATCTGTTATACTGCAATATTCTGCCATCCAACACCATTTCTGCAGAATTTATCCTTGCTGGGAAGTAGAGTACACAGTTCTAATATCAACCATCAGTGTTGTCTCCTGCAATAGGAAAAGGCATTCACTGATGTCTAGTCTTTCTTTAGAAGCAAATTGACGTATATTATTTAGAGGGAGAATGCATACCTGAATCTTCTTTTCCTTTTTCTTTAGGGTGTGGAACAAGGAAGTCCCTCTATAAGAGAAAATAACTGCAAATACTGAGGCAGGAGGGGGGAAAGAAACGTATCAGAGGTTTGCATAAATCCAAAATTCAGTTAAAATTGTCTTGTATATTTTGTAAGTTGCTGTGCCCTCTTAAAGGGTAAGAAATAGAACTGTAAAGACTGAAGACATTATTAAAATGGAATTAAATATTTAACACTAAAATCACCTTTTTACAAGTAGCACATCCACTATTTAAATAATAAATTTAATAGAATTGCAATTTGAGACTTCTTGTATTCCATCTATACATGGAAGCTAAAAAGTTTGATAGTGATGTATGTGTATCAATACCATTTACTGCTGCCCTGTTTTTAAGCTCTGCAGCATTGTGAAGCCTGTCAGTGCCATCTCATCTCATAGTCAGTTTGTCTAGATGATGTGGACATAAGTACAAGATTCTGTTCCATCAGCTGGATTTTTGGCTGGATTTGTTTTTGTCACAGTTTAAAGGAATGTAGGCAAAGCTCTATCAAGTCAAGTACTGACTTGAAATTTCAAGGCAGTTCCATGGATCTTACTCTTTGCACGATTGAGGACTAAAACTAAAGTGCTGAATTGATGTGATGCTTCCCTCTCTGCCCTTTCTTTTTTTTTTGGAGGCCTTCAACTGGAGAAATTGATTTTGAAGGTGAGACAAGTTTTTACAAGTGGTGCACCCTGTTCCCTGACTCTTTACTGTTGACTTCTATTATAGTTGATACTGTCCTTGGCAACTCGCTAGAGAAAAGTCTCTTTATAGAACTAAGATGATAAAACTAAGTCTCTGAGCTATCTTATGAATAATGGAAATAGACTGATCTAGATGAGGTGGGTAGCTCAAAAATGTATGGTCTTTTACATGTCTGTGAAAGCTAGTATCACCATATGAGAAAAGTAAACATGATACTGCGATTCTTGGATGTGATAGCATGAGCGAAAAAGAAAACTGTAAAAAAAAAAAAAATAGTTTTTCATTACTAAAGGGCAGGGGCAATGGACAGACAGGACTTGTTTTCTGTCTCTTCTCCCAATGTTCTTGTTCTTTGTCTGTGCTCTAGAGTAACCTACATGGATGAAAGTAGCATTTCCTGTGACTGCAGTCAAGCTTTGTGCCTACCTATTACTAGTTTGACCTGTAACTGAAGTTATGCTGTTTTCCCTCAATTAGGAGTATTGAGGTTTCCCCACCCAACTGATCCTTGATCTTGATATAGTTTTTAATATCACTTGCTTACTTGTCAAAGAGTTACTGTAATTATAGCCTTTACCCTAAGCTGTTGGGGGAAAGATTCCACTTTAACACTGTGGCACTCAGTTTTTATTTCCTCTCTACTCCAAGCACTGCAGGATAATAAGGAACACAAATTCTTATTTGGCTTTTGTGCTGCACAAAGCCTCTGTTGCATCAGAACCTCAAAGAACAAAATGAGGGAGGGGATTACATGAGGAATTACTTCAAACATAGAGCTTTTTAATAGTCTGGACTGATGCTCTTGCATGTCTAATAGAGGAGTGTGCTGCTTTTAGAGCAGGATATACTTTATTCTGATGGGGAAAATGAGTGGTAGAATCTCTTCAATTTAAAGACTCTAAGTGATGACTTAAGGGTAATACTTATTTACAACTGAGACCTCTCAGGTAAGGATTTACTTCTTTTACCCTGAACTTGAAAGTACCTTTGGGATTGAAGACTAAGTCAATTCTGCTGACAGACTCAACAGTTTGTCTTTTGCTGCTTGTCTGATAAAGGAATATTCATAACCTCACAGTTAGATGGCACTCTTATTTTTGGGAATGGCTGGTATTTCACAGGTACTCCCAAGATCATGCTAGTCATCCTTTCACAGGTGCTGCGCTAGTCAGTGTGCTTTCTACCCAGATGTAAGAAGCAATTTAGGGCTTGGTAATGCTAGCTCCCAAGATGATGTGAGGGAGTAGGAGTGTTTAGACAGCTCTTTGTCTGAAAGCAAATGCTATTTTAAAACTAATTGCTTAAAACCTTGTAGTGTACCCATGCGATGTATCAACACCAATGCTTAAAGTAGTATGCATGGATGTTCTAGTGCTCCAGAAATACTTCCTGGATAATGTTGTGTGGTGTACTCTGACAGTACTACTCCTGTGGCCTTAAAACTTAATCTTCTGCTTGGCTGTTTCTTTATTCAGCAGCATGGGTGATTTGTGGGCTTCATTTTAGACTGGCTTACAGCTATATTTAATGTTCCAGTGGGTAAAACAGCCATGCTTCTGCAAAGTTGTGAAGTGCAAACTGCTTTTTTAGAATTCAGTGAATTTAAAGTCCAGGCTCTTTTTATTCAGCCAGGTAACTAACCACAGTGATATTTGAGATTTAATTTTACAGATGCACATACGTGTCAACTTATGTTACCACTGAAGCTAGATTGCCCAGTGATTAACTGCAGTGCTGGCAGTATTGTGAACTTGTAACTGTAGTAGTCCTGCATTGCCTTTGAAGTTTTCACTTGCTTCCTGCAGCATCTACTGAAGGGCAGCTGAAGAATCTATTTGCTGCTTGGCACACCAGTAACAAACTTTAGAAGCTTCTGAGATGGCCATAGTGGGAGCTTTGGATAGACTTACTGTCTGTGACTCAGAATTTCTAAATCATTATTTGTAGCTAACTAAAACTTCTGCAAAGTGGGTGTGGTATAATCACTGAAGTGGAGCCAGGGGGTTAGGTTGGCTTGCCAGATTTTAATTCTGTATTTTAATTTTCAATTTGGTAGCACCTGGATGGCATGAAGCTTTCCCTTTCACAATATCCTGTTTTCTGCCCTATGTTGGAAAATATTAATTACAGGTTTTTCTATTAAAATAAAACAATGGAAGACATGAGTCAATGGGGGGGGGTGGGAAACACCAAAAAAAAAAACCACCCCCACCAAAAAACAACCAATCGCTCATTGCATGCTAACTGCATTTTTCCCTGGTGTGCCTCCACTGTTTTAAAAAAAAGTGTCATCCTCAGAATCCCCTGACTGACTCATTGCCACTGGCCATCTTGGTCAACAAGACTATAAACCCCCAAGTAAATTCATGGCCAAAGAAATAAGATAGATGTGAGTATTTTTTCTGAAATGATCTGATGAGAATGGTTCAGAGCACTAAAATAATCTGATCTGGTGGCTGAATACCTGTGAAGCTGTACTGTGTATGAGGTATCTTGTAGCTGCATTTTGCACACGTTTAGATCTGTGGTACTATACAAATACTCTATTACTACCACTCAGGCTTCAACAGGACTTTCAAATGGAAATATACACATCTACAAAGAAGACAATGATCATTAGAAAAAAAACGTGGTTGTTTGAACAAAAATAAATACTGCAATGGTTAAGATTGAAGAAATAAGGCTAATTAGTCTTTCAAGACTATAGATTTCTATCCTGCTTTCTGGATTTACTCCTACATGGAATAATTTTCCATTAATATAAATGGCTCTTGGTATTTATCTCTAGTCTATGTATTTCTAAAAAACTAGAGTCTCTTAAATGCCAGCTTTGGCACTGTTTGTGAAATGATGAAATGAAATACTGCTTCTCACCATTCCAGCACTGGCTGCCAGTCAGCACTATTAGAAATCTTACTCTGTTGAAACTTACTTTTGAAACTGGCTCTACTTTTAAGAGTTTCAGTAAAGACCTACTAAAATCTTTATGTATGGGATATGATAGAGGTGTATAAAACTGGGAATGATATGGGGAAAACAAATAGGAATCAGTTGTTTGTATGCCTTCCAGTACAAGGACTAGGGTCTATGAAATGAAACTAGTAGGGAGCAGGGTGAAAGCAAATCATGTTTCTTCTGTGGTTATTAATCAATCTGTACAGTTCCTTGCTGAAGGAAATTGCAAATTCACAAGAAGTGACTGGATATAAATGAAAAAATATATCCCGGGCTACTAACTACTAAAATATGACCTATGATTCAATGTACCTGCACTACAAGCAGTAGGGGCCGAGACAGCATTTCAGTGACGTAACAGAACTAATGCCACCAGAGTTTGCACTGCTCTGCTGTCTAAGGATCTGCTACTGACCATGAGTGGAAAAGGACACTGGTATAAACAGACCTTTAGTCTGGCACAAAAAAAGTGATGTGGTATCTCAAAACAAACTTTTAAATTGCATTTGATAGAAGTTTGAAATGGTCTGTAGGATTCTGAACAATCAAGAAAACAGTAAACCCTGGCAGGTAAAATGGGAAGGACCTTTTAAAAAGTAATGGGATGACAAACTAGAGAAAAACTGAATTTGCTTTTATTAAACTAAACTTCAGCTTTTGTCATTTAAGATTTGTAACTGAAGTGATCTTTAGGTTAGCCCTGCTCTAGACAAATTTGAGTATGAATTCTCTTGGAATGTATCAGGTGAATACTACCTGTGGCTTCCAGCATCTATCCAACAATCACCAATGCTAAATGCATTAATTCTCAGTACCAAATGTGGCAATACAGAGAACTGGTCCATTATAAATCTCCTCATGTTATTTCAGCTGTTAAAACTTTTTTTCTGGTGAAAGAGCCAGGAGCTTGGAACTTGTTGATGATGCTGCTGATACAGGGAACTATCAGCAGCATCACAGTGAGATTTGCTAAATAATACTGGAGTATAAAACACGACTCCACATTCAAGCTCTGGGAATAAGATAAAGAATCTTTTTGTAAGTAGGCCTTGACTACCTTGTCTTTCCCCAGAACATGTTGTAAATGACTGGCAAGGAATGGGAGTTTATTTTTACTAAATGACTTAGACATGTAGGAGGGAGAAAACACATTTTAATGTATACTTTCCCCTGTCCTCTTTTCCAAAGGTCTCAGGAAGGGAAAAAAAAAAATGTAGTATCTTAAATGCATTTTAGTCTATGGTTCCTTGATTTCACTGTCAATGTTCACTCTACTGATGTTAGAGCTTTATCTTGCTTTTTCTTTTTCTCAATGTAAGCATAGAGTCTAAGTTCTATAGAAGTCCTTCCTAGTTCTTTCAAAGCAAATCTATTTTTCTTTCTTCTTTTGCAGAGTACCAATATATATCATGTAGGTCCTCAATTCAGTTTTTAACCACTGCAGTTTGATGTTTCAAAGAGTTTATAGCTATCTCAATCTTTCTAGTCATGTCTGCAAGATTATTTAAAAGAATGTGGTCAGTCCACAAGGTCAATTAAGTACACAAACTTCCCCTTCTTCCTGCTTAAGAATTCTTTACTACTGTTCTGTGGCTTACATGCATATAGTTAAAAACCATTTTGAAACCCTTACACATTTATATTTTTATAGTCATAAAGTATTACTACAGAAAATAATTCTAGTAAACATAAGAAATAAATTGAAATTTATTTCCTCAAGCCTTTTTAAAAGGAAAAAAAAACCCTCAAATGTATCAAAACAACTGATACTGAAGTGTATGTAGAAATTAATCTCTTTCATTTCTAACATGAAAACCCCCTTTTTAAATAACTAAAACCACTACATCTTTACAGTAAAGTTGAACATCTAACATCATTACACTTGGCTCCCACTCCTGTGGTTTGGAGAATGCTTTAGGTGTTGCAGAACTGTGCGTATTAATGGTGATGATGTTGAGATTTTGCTATACAAAAAAACTCAAGTCTTGCTGACACTGCAATTTTGTCTTAAAAGTAAATCCCCTTGATTAACTTTTTCCTCTTCAGCAGTGTTCTTTATTTCCCTAGCTTCCTGTACTAGGATAAGTACACTGAACTTCAGCACAGAGGCAGTATGCAGAGAAAAAAAATACAGTACAACCTGCTTATAATAAAGCACTGTAAGTGACCTCTCAGTGCTCTGCATGGTGCAAACTGCAGTCCCGTTACAATGAGGCTTTGTATATACTAAAATAACTTCATGGAGAAAAGACACTTCAATACAGTCTGCTAATTCTGCAGATTCGTTGGCGACGCCTTGGTAGTGACTGCTTTCTGCTGATAGTCATGTGCAGCAGTGCAGGGGCCCACTTTGACCAAGACTGATGACCCTTAGCACAGACCTTACAGTGTGCAGGTATGGTTGGTTGAGTGTTGTTTAATGCAGCGCTCTTCTTTCTGGCTGCAGAAGGGCAGAAGAGGACAGCCCCTGTAGGATGCTGTATGCGTACATCTGTAGGTTCTGAGTTCATTAAAGCCCTTTCTGGTGGTTTCTTCCTCATTCTTTGGATCTTTCCTTCAAGTTCACAAGTAGGGGTCAATGAGCATGCAGCAGGTGACTGCTGTCAGTCAGATTCTGACTTCTCATTAGATTTAGATGATTTACGCTTTCTCTTTTTCTTCTTCTTCTTTTCTTTTTTTTTCTTTTCCTTCTTTCTCTTTTTCTTCTTGTGTTTATCTCTACATTCTGAGGAAGTGGAGCTGCTGTCATCTGCATCATCCTCATCACTGTCATCACTGTTATCATCATCGTCTTCTGAGGTAGAGTCCTCCAGGAGCTGCTTCAGTTGCTGTATCCTGAGTTTAAAAAATGTGAATTAGAATCCTTTCTAGTTCTCCTCTACCTGTAATAATTTATTCTTGCTTTCATCTGTTTCCTTCCTAGCTTGAAAAATGGAAGCTGTGTACAAAGGGCAGGGGAACACTTCCTCTTTTGGTGAATTACACTCCTGTTACAGTTTTCACAAATTGATAAAAGCAACCTCTCCTGAGACAAGCAGACATTCTGTTCTCAGGGACTTTCCATCCCACAGATATCAAGGGCAGACTACCTTACCGGCCAGTATTTATATGTGCAAAATAATGAGGCAACAGCTATCACCAGACCACCATAGGAAGTTCTATGCTTACTCAAACACAAATGCATACTGGGATGATGACATTATGCCATTCATTGCCCTGCTGATACAAGAGGATGTCAGTGAAACTGACAGTAGACTCTAGTTGTAGAGGTATTTTTGACAGGCACTCTTCCTTTGAAATTTCATGGATTACTGGCAAATGGGCACAAACTATTTGCTTATTATAGTGTTGTCTTTAGTGTCCTACTGAGTGATTATTGAGAAAGTAGAAATGCATTAGCCTCTGCCAGCAAAAAGAACCTGCCATTAAAAAAAGTGTTCTGAGGTAAGGGTAAGCTTGTATCAAAATGAAAACCAAATTGAAAATGCAGTTTACTACAGAGACACACTTACCTCATTTCTTTTTCATGACGTTTATTTTCCCTTATTATATCGTACATTGGATCTTCATGTGCCTTTGAAGTGGAAAACAGAAAATCCAATGTTAGTAAATAGAAATATTTATCACTGTTATATTTCCTACAAAAATAAAGCAAAGCAACCCAAAAACCACAAGAGGCTTTTATCGCAAGATGAAATACATTTAGCAAACTCTTAATTCACAAGTATGCTCTCAGACTTAATACCATTAATCTGTGTTTTATACTTTAGGAAAAGCTTATCTAGTTACACCACCAATGAAGGGGACTCTCCTTAGGTATACTACCTCTTTCCCTCTCCAGTCACAGGTAACTAAGAGAACCCCATACATACACTATAGGAATAGCTAGACATAGATGGAATACTTAAGTTCAAAACAATGAGCTGTGCCCTTCAGCATATTTTAAAAACTCGGATACAAACACACAGGAGCAAGGAATAGAAGACAAATGGATAATGAAATTGCAGTTGTCTTAGCATGCAATGCGTTACCATTATTGGTTGTTAAACTGGTTATTTTTAAATTAAACAGGCATTGCAGCAAAGGATAGTTGTGAAGAAAGAGAACAAATAAACTTTGCAGACATTTAAGGTGAGTTCATGCCATGCAAGAATGCAGCAAAAAGACGGGGTGATCATTTCTGTTGGAAGACTAATCAAACCAGTTCAACAGAGAGGAGATATCAGATGTTGACCAGAGGTGGGAATTAAAATGTCAGTAGCAAACAAAAGATGCTGTGAATGCATCATGAGGGGCCTTGGACATACAGTACGAGTTTCATGCAACAGAAAAAAAGCTTGAGGGAAAACGGAGAATAGAGGCAATCTGGTCATGGGAGAGGGATAAAAATACTCTTTGCAGTAGCATATGATCAGTATGAGTCCAGAATCTGGACAGAATGAGTCCCGATTACCTTCTTCCAGGACAGAAATGAGAACATAAGACACAAAGTGATGAGAGCTTGAAATATAGCTCAACAATGGAGAGCAACAGGCAAAGCTGAAGAGATCATGCAGAAAGAATCTGCAGAACTGAGATGCAACCTCATGTAGCAAGAGATCAGACCTGTAGACAATGACTGGATTATAGACCTAGACAACAGGCTTCATGATGTGGTTGTTCACAGTGAGATTGGAAAGCTTGAAGCAGCTGTAATGTGGGCAGCTCAAGCTTGACAAAACATTTTTTGTTACTTTGATATTTTAATCACAAAAACTGAATATAATGGTTGAAACAGGTTCTTGAAGATTTCCAATTTAAATGTAAAAATTACTGATTTTCTTCTCAAAGAGTAGATTTTCTGCAAAGTAGTCAAGCATCCAACCAGGTCTGTAGCTTTTTTCTTTATTAGAAGATTTTCAGCATCTATATTATACTAGAGACAGAGGAAAAGCCCTTAATAAAGCATCATCTAACAGGCTTCTCTTCACTTGCAAGATTATGTATCATCAGTATTAAAAAATATAAGCAATATTACTACAGTATTTGTACTCACTACTCTAAATTGTTCCAATTTCTGATTGCCTTTAATAAAGAATGGGCATTCTTTATCTCCTGTTCTGTGTCCATAACGTTTACACCTCCAACCTTTAAAAAAAGAAGCAGCAGTGAGTCACACCTCTGAGCCAAATCAGAAGGAAAAAAAAAAGCCAGATATTTATGCAAAATATTTTCAATTTGTTGGAACAAATGGAGAGATACAAGTATTATGTTGATAAATGTAACATCCATAAAATGCAAGGCTACTACAGCCTTCAAGATACTGGGTTTTTTTATATCATATGATGCCAATCTACCTGAACCGCGTCATCTGTCCACCAGACATTGTGCCCTCCCCCAGAGTAAACGGATGGCTATATGAAGGTCCAATGACATCTGGAATATTTTCAGCCTTACACTGCATGACTTTGACTTCTTTTCCCAAAGGCATCCAAAGTCCTTTTGTGGGGGCATGTGCCAGGAACTCCCGTGCACTTTCATTGCCCGGTACATCAGGTATGCAATCTTCTGGTTTGGTTTCATTCTCCTATGGAAAATGATAAGGACAATAAAATCACTTTTTTTTAGAACTTTATAAAAATTAATACTCCAAGTGTGCAGGCCTTCACTTAATACAGAACCTACTTCCCCTGTAATACTTCTTTTTCTTGAAACACATAAGGGATCTAAATACCTGACCCTTTAAGAGCATTGATTTTCTTTTTCCCCTCACCCTTCCATTTTCCAGTTTGAACTTTATGGCCATATTAATTCCATTCTTTCCCATATATTTTCATAATTTATTTAAATAAATAATATAAATGAAAACTTAACAGACAAGCAGAAACTTCTTTTTCCTCTTCCTTCTAACAAGACATAACAATTAAAAACAGCCTTTACAACATGGAACAGTATTTTTTAGGTTAAAAATAACCTTTATAGCAAAGGTGGTTATCATGAAAGGAAAGTATTTTTACACATATATTTAAGCATAAGCAATGGAGGAGAATCCTGTAAAGATGTCATTCAAACTGAAAATCTGCTTTACCATAAATGACTCCCCTCTATCCACACTATTAAATACTGCATTAAGTGTGTGTGCTAAGAGGTGATGAAAGAACTGGTCTCATCCTATCTGATTCTGGGCATTTCACTCTGGAGTCACCAAGTCAAACAGGCCAGGTTGTAACTGAGGAGCTCAGTTTCTCCTGTAACCACCTACTTCTCTGCAATTTATAGCGGTAATGTTGACACTTAAGATAAACGGCTAAAAGACAGGTTGTGTGAAAATGCTAAAAATTTACTGCAACATATTTACTAACCTTAATCAGCCCTGGGGGAGGTTTCTCGTAGCTGAAAAGCAACAGAAATATTGTTACTCTGCAGTACAGCATAGACAAATAAATTGACAAAATACAGTATTTAAATGGTATAGAGTTAAAACCTTCACTTCACATTTTACCTTCAATTTTACTCTATCGGTAATCACCTAGAACTACAGCAGGACATGGATACCTAGATGCAAGCTGACTGAGACACACTGTCCTATCACCACACGTGCCTCTTGCAAATATCCTTCAGATTCATGTTCTGGCGGGAGAGCAACTACTTTCATTGTACTGCTTTACAAAGATGTGTGGTACATCCAACTCAGCCCCAGTTACCATAAATGCAAAACTCCCTCTTTTTCTGTAGCACCCCTCCCCAAGATCTCACCAATCCAAATCTCTTTACTCCAGCGCTGCTGAATCATAGACATAGTCAGCTAAAAATAGTCAGACCATTCCTTACATCTTGCTTTGCCACCCAAGCCTAATATATAATAATTTAATTTTCTCCTCTTTGTGTATTAAACCTAAAGACAGAACCTTACTGGCCAAAATACCACGTTTCCTTTGGCATTTCTCCGCAGTTAACAGTTGATATAAAATTTATTAAAATCCAAATAGCAAGCAGGTGCTACATAGAGTACAGAAACTGAGAAAGAGGATGTGCTTAGGAGTTAAATGCCAAGACACTATGAAATGGTCTTTATAACTTTTTGAGTGCTGTTTAGTGGATTTGATAACAGATTTTTACTTTCACTTGGAAAGGAAAAAACGTTCTTGTGAACCTTCTGATCTTTTTATTCTACTAAATCCCTTTCAGTGAAGTAACATTAACCTTTTACAGCATCGCAGGCTACTGACGGAGTCATTAGGCAGATCTCAAACCTTTTTGCCTTTTTTTGTTTGTTTGTTTTTAAATCCACTCCAGTGGAAACCGACTGAACAACCCCGGCGTCTATGCCGCAACTCCCAGACTTCTAGGAACCTGGAAGAGGCCCATTTGCCCCCCAACAACTCGTTATAAAAGTCACGGATCAGTTCCGCAAGCGGCCTCGATGCCCCCCGGCTGCCCTGCCCGCACCGCTCCCAGGGGCACGGCAGGCACGCCACTGAAACACAGACCTCCCTATAGATTAAAAAAAAAAAAGGGCCACGTTTTTTAAATGTGACGGAGCTGGAGCAGGGGCCGGGGGGGGGAAGGAAAAAAAAACAAACCAAACCAAAACACGCCCCCCCCCCCCCCCCCCCCCCCGAAGCCCGCACTGGAAACGAGCCCCAAATGGCGGCGGGGCGGGCTGCGAGCAGAGCCGGGGGGCGGCCCGGCAGGGCCCCCCGGGCAGGGGCGGGAGCCGCGGGCAGCCTCCCCTCCTCCGCTCCTTACAAGGACTCCAAGTGCTGGAGCTTCTGGAGCTGCTGCGCCTCCTGCCTCTTCCGTTTCCTCTCATGCCGGTCCTGGGTCCTGCCGCCGCTCGCCGCGGGCTCCGGCTGGCCCTTGGGCCGCGCCTGGCTGCCCCTCGCCGCTTCTTCGTCCTCCTCCGCTGCCTCTTCCTCCTCCTCCCCCTGCCCCCTTCGCGCCCTGCGGGACATCGGCGCGGCTGGCAGAACCCCGGCGGACGGCGAAGCCACGGCAACACCCCCCTCCCCGCCCTCCAACGCTGCGCATTTCGGTTTCACTTCCCCTCCCGGGCGGGGCCCGCCCGGCCAAGCGCCGACTTCCTCCGGTGCGGCCCGGCCCGGCCAGGCAGCGCCGCTGCCGCCCCCCTCAGACCCGCCCGTAGGCCCAGCGCTCACCCCGCTCCCCGCCCCCGGCACCCTTCCCGGGGATTAACAATACTGGCTGGTTGTGTTGCGCCTTCAAAACAACGATATTTAAAAATTAAATTAAAAAAAACCCACAATCGTTGACACAGCGGGGCGGGGGGGGGGGGGGGCCTGGCGGTGGGCCGGCCGAGAGCAGGCGGCCCCGGGCACGGAGGAGAGCTGAGGGGGTCGCCTCCCTCACCGGGGCCTCGGGGGCGGCTGCGGGGTGCAGCTGAGGGGGGGTCGGCACCCCCGGAAGGCAAAATCTGCTCCCAGGTTTCGCAGTGTCCTGCCCCAGCCGTGATCCTTCTGCGGCAGGAGGAGGAAGGGAGGCAGGCCAGTGTTGGGAAGGCAAAGTTTAAATTAATGCTTAAGCTTCATGCTAAAGTTCAAGGGCACGTGAGATTTCGGGGATTGCTTAAGAACTGAGTGAAACACAAAAAAGTAGATGTCAGAAGTCCAGGAATTGAAGGTGATCATCTTGGTGCTTCAAAGGTGCGCATCAGAGGTAAAGGGTGCTGTTCCCTGGGAATTGCTGTTGCAGCACCCTGTGATTCTGAAGTACAGTAAGACAAAAACGGTCATGAAAAGGCCTACCTTTTACATGGGAAAGAGCAATCTTACGCTTTATTTAACAATGTCATTTTATTAAACAAGCACTACTTTAATGTTATTTTAGCTTCTACTAGGTAAAACCTTACTTAGGACGAAAAATCATGTGTCTTGTTTCTCACTTGTGTTCGGCAAAGTGTCTGCCGTTGTAACTTCAGATCCCGGGAAACTATTTTTGTCCAGTTAATTCTGTCACAGTCTTTTGCAAGGATTTGGTGCTTATTTTAAGGTTTAAACAAAATTAATCTAGCTTTTGCATGTCATGCCACTAATATATAATATTGATGAAGATTTTTATTTCACGCACCAAATTTTGTAGGTTTGCTGGCACTGGAAAGAATGCAGCAGCCATTCTACCACAAAACAACAGTCAGCAGCAAAGCAACATAATCTTGCGGATATACTTCTCAAAAAACTCCAATTTACGCTCTTCTTAAACCCAACATATCCATCTGGCTGAGATGTCATGAGATGGCATGTAAGTTGTGAGAAAACCTTTTTCATTCATTCCATGGGTCTGTAGCTAGCTTGTGTGTTTTGCTTAGCAGTGGGCCTTTTGGGAATTTTGTTATTAGCCTTTCTTTGGGCCTAAACTGAGAAGAAGAGGCTGAGTTGCTGCCATCTCTTGAAATGGCAGATCACAACAGTTGACCTGAGGTGCAAAGCTCAATGAACACCTCTTGTCTAAAGACTTAGAGGAAAAATGAGTTTATTTGTTAATCTGAGTTAAATATCTGTGTGTCTGTGCATAGTATGAAGAGAATGCAAGGTGATAGGTTTTAAGGTAATGCACTGTGGCTCAGGTTAAGCAGATGACCTGATGTTTGCAGGAGGCTAGACATTTGCTGCTGTGACACTGCTAGCATGTGGTAACATGTCAAATTGCAATCCGTCCTTTACATGGTCATATTCCAGCAACAAGTGAGGCAGGAAAAATATTTTTAGGTGTCGCAATTACATTTAAGATGTTTGAAAGAACTTAAATGAGACATGGTATCAATTTTTCACTCCATTTAGAGAAATGTCAATAGTTACTAAAAGTTAAGTACCGGCTGGGCTGATGCCTACTAACTAGAGACTTTATTTTGGAAGCAATCTCAAGTGATATAATGGAGTTCTTTGACCCCCTCCCTTTCATTCCAGTGTTATTTTGTTATTTTCAAATGTCTTTTAACTTCAACTTCATGTTTTCAAACCAACAGGGTAGTCAGACTCTGGAACAGCTTTTCAGCATGTTAGGACAGTGACAGAAAACCTAATTAATTCTAAGATAGAGAGTTTCCAGTTTATGAATGGTATTCTATGGGAGATATGTGTGCAATAGCACAAGAGACAGGAATTCTCCATAAACCCTACCAGTCTCGCTTTCACACACCCTTGACTGTCCTAGCTTGGCTGAAGTAAGAAGAGTTCTGCCAGTTTGGAGCGGAAAAGGACCTGGCTTAGATGACCTCAGATTCAGTGACTTCAGCTTTGGCGGAATAATTGACACAAATTCATGAACTTAGCACATAGTCTCCACAGAAGTGTGGGGTTGCAAGTGGAAGCAGAAGGACAGACCATGGTACATTATTCTCTTCTTACTGTTAAGTCAATGAGAGCTTGGCTGGGTTCTTTGCATCCCAGTGGCTTGTATGCCTAGGCCCTAATTTCTGAGCAGATCAGGGCATTTGTGTAATAATCTTTATCACAGTAACTTAATAGGACACACAGAAGGTAAAATTAGGTGGGTACATAAATCTGCTAAGCCACAGTGGTTTAAATATGGGGTTTTTTTGTTGTTTGATAAGAAAAATTTTCTAGTGCATTTCCTCATCTGTCTTAGAAATGAGTTTTATCACTATATTACCCAGCCCAGGAGTACCTAGCTGTGAGGCCAAGCTTTTTTTAACCCCCAATTTTAATAGAAGGAGAGTATTTAAAGCTGTAGGTAGCTCCAAAGTTTATTTTTCTCCTTTGCTGAAAAAAATCCCTGGGTTCCTGAGACTTACCCAAGGAAACAATTGCTTTCATATCAGTCCTTAGGAAAGATCAAACCAAAATTAATTGTGAAGAAGGAGGCAGCAGAAAAAAAGTAATTGTTATTTTCAGTTCTATTTATTCTGAAGCAAAGATCCTCAGTATCTGTAAATTGCTTAAATCTGTTCTATTTAAAGGATTTATATTAGCAGAGGATCTGGTTCCTTGCACTTAGCAGGATATTGATTTGAAGTTGTGCTGGGTTTTTTCCCTTTATTTGAATGTAGTGCTTCAGACATTTCAATAATTTAATTTTTGGGAAATGTTGTCCTACCATAAGAGCTGACTGTTGTGGCACTGTAATTCCAGCTTCCCCAAAACATCTAAGCAGAAACATGAATCACTGTTACAAAGTGAAGTATCAGAAAAGCCCGTATGTTTCATAATATCCACTACAACTTTGCTATAAACAACTGAATGTTTCAACTACAAGCGATAACACTGGGACCAAATCAACTTACATCTCTGTCATCCCATGGGCATCAGTATTCCTGTCAGAGTGCAACCCTGGCAGAATGTCAGCCAATCTGATTTTCTCCATTTTTGGCTGACTAGAGCTTTGGGCCAGGATCTGTTTCTGATTATGTGTCAGATATTACGCACAGGAGAGGAATCCAGAACCCATGTTAGGCTCCATGGGAAGTTAAGCACCTCCTAATGGGATCCAGAAGAAGCAGCAGGCTGAGCAGGACACAGTGCAAATCCAGCATGGCCAGCCCACGGCTGCCTGAAGCTAGCTGGTAGGAGACAGTCAGGGTAGAGTGAGTCTAATATCTGGACCATTTTCAGACCTCAGTGAAGGCTCTCTCAAAACAGCAGTGGCACATCTAAACTCTTGGGAACCTCAGCTGTGAAGAGAGGTGCTGACATCCTTTCTTGCAGAGAAATTAAAAGTTTTATTCTAAGTGGAATTGATAGCAGTTTCTTTTGTATACTAGCTTAACAATTAGACAATGAGAGACTTGGAGTTGGTTCCCTCCTCGGTCTAGGTATTCAGTGATGGTGGCTCCTGTGTCACTGGGAAAAAATACCCTAAGCATTAGGCTAATAGCTACGTTGGTGGGGGCCACCTGCCATTCGTATTCCACTCTTTGGAAGCAGCAGGGAAAAGCATCTGAGATTCATGGGGTCAGAAGGATAAGTGTGTTTGAACTTGGCTGCGAGTACACTAAGAGGTGCGCCCATCCCAGCACTGGAAACTGTACTTCTTTCTGTAAGATACAAAATCAATGCTCTAAGCAGGGGCCAGAGCCCAGTTCTCCCTCAGTTAGCACCACTGCACCAGGAGACAATAATGTCCTCCTACTTCCCATTTCTCAGATTAATCCCATGTTTACAACGGCACTGCTCAGCAGTAAAAAGTGTTCCTACACACCTGAACCTTTGCTGTGGTGTTTACTACCATACATCATCACATAAAGGGAGTGAGGGAGCAAATGTCTGAAAGAACATAATGGCCACAGCTTCATTTTGTACTGTCCTGGTCCTGTCAGTCTTCAAGAGTCTGTAAAAGTCTACAGGGGCAAGCCTTTTAGGAAAATTGGGCAGAAGAATATCTAAGTTTTGGATCCCAACCAAGGACAGGTGTGAATTAAGCGTTGAATTGTTTGTTTCTGTAAAGACTGGGTTACTACCTAGCATATTCAGAAATGTGCACTTGCAGGAAAGCTTTATAGCTGAGCAAGGAAGCATCTTTGGAAATTGGGGTTGGACAGCAGTTGAGCAAAGTTATTTGAACTGCAGCTTTAGTCTGAAGTCGCTTCCTAAGGCTACATCCCATTTTAAGCACTCAAATCTTTTTATTGGACCTCTCCCAAAGACTGATAAGCTGGTACTTGCAAGAGGAATGATTGTCTTCCTTTTTGTAAATTCTGTCCTCTAAGCCTGTGGTAGCTGATTGCATGGATGAACTTCCTCCATCCTTCTGTGGAGATACTGCCTTATTGATCACTTGGAGTTTGTAGTGAAGTCACCTGTTCCATTAGATGTGTAACGCTTACCATCTCTTCAAGCCACCACTCAGTGAAAATATTCTATCTATCTTTGATCTTTCTTTATTATTTGAACTCACGTAAGATTTGAGAGACACTAAATCACTGCACAACTTACATTTTTCATGAGTTTTTGCCCTTTGCTTTCTCTTCTTTATAAATAAATACAAATAACTGTATATAATCCCAGCCATTTTGTGCTGTGGCATTAACACTTTTTTTCAAGAGTGAGGCTGTATTTTATGGGTGTATATTTGTGTAGTACACTATTGAATCAGCATTGTATCTCTGGGTATACACTGACATGGTGTCACTTCT